CGGCCTGCGAGCCCTGTCACCCCTTTTCCCACCATCCCAGACGCTTCTACTACCTCCTTACCCAGTCCCACTTTTGCTTCCAGCCCCCTTGATACCTGAACCCATCCTGCCAAGCCTGTCACATCAGGGCTTTGTCCCACCATCCCTGGTCCCACCACTACTACACCCTGGTCCTGTCCTGCCAACCCTACCAACCCTGTATTCCTGTAATCTGTGTCCTTCAAGCCTGATACCCTCGGTACCGTCACCAAGTCCACTAACCCACTCACCCGCTGACCCCATCCTGTCACTGCATATCCCTCTACCTCCAACCCCAGTATCTTCTGACCCCATCCAGCCAACCCGGGTACTCTGGATCTCTGTATCATTAAACCTGCCAAGCCCATTATCCTATATCCCCCCAACCCCATTACCTCACAACTCCGTCTTGCCAAGCCTGGCACCCCAAAACCCACCATCTCCCTCTTCCCAAGACCCCGCGCTGCCGACTCCCTTTTGTCAACCACCTCTGTCCTGCCTAGAGACTGTCCTGCCTCCGCTGTCACTACCAGTCTTGGCACACTGTGTCCCAGCGACCCCTGACCCAAACTGACAAACTCCCATTCCCTCTGATCCTGCCCCACCAGCCCTGCTGCCCCTGGATCCTGCCCCACAAACTCCATGACTGCCTGTTGTGCCAACACCAGTGTCCCCTGCTCCACTAAACCCATGGCTGCCTGCTGAGCCAACTCCTGATCCTGTCCCATCAACCCTGATGCTCCCTGCCCCACTGACCCAGCAACCACCTGTTGCACAAGCTCTGACACCCCCTGACCCTGCTCAGAAAGCCTCAGATCTGCTGCCCTCTGAGATAGACCCCCTAGCTGTGCTGCCCCTGACTCCATAGCCCCTGCCCCACTTCAACCCAACCCCTCTTGCCCTTTGACCTCTAACCCCTGACCTCTCTCAGCCCCTAACCCTATTCCCCCTCGATCCTGTCAGCCCCAGCCCAGCCCCCTCTTGCCCCTTGATCCCCAGTGCCTAACCCAACACCCCTTGACCCCCACCCCTAACCCAACACCCCTTGCCCTCTGACCCTTTGACCTCTGACCCCTACAGCCCATGCCACCACCCTTTTGCCCCTTGACCCCTGCACACCCTAAGCCACCACCCTTTTGCCCTTTGACCCCACCCCCGTTGCCCAGCACTCCCCAGAGCGAGGCTGCCCTCTCTAGGAAAGGCGGCGGTTAGTGCCGCGCGGGGAGGGGGAGCGGCCGTTGGCGGCGCACGCGCTCCCTCCTCCCTCGCGCCCCCTCCCTCCCCAAGCGCGTCTCGCGCCCCCATGGGTAGGGGCGGGGGGGGGGAGTGCGGAGCCCCGGCCGGGCCGCCATCTTACCTGGGTGGGAGGGGGGAGGAGGGAGGGAGGCGCCTCCTGCTCCGCCTCCTCCTGCCGCCGCCTCAGCCCCAGCGCCGCCGCCGGGCAAGATCCGCCGCCATCCGCAGCCCCCCGGCCGCAGCCACCCCGCCCGTCCCCGCGTTCGGACCCCGCCGGCCCCAATCAGCCCCACGCTGACCCCTCCCCCCCGAATGCCGACCCCGAACCAGGCCCCGCCGAGCCGAGCCGAGCCGCCGCGGCAAAATGGCGGACGCCACCACCTCCACCACCAGGTCCGGCCCCCCCCCGCCCGCTTCGCCTCCCGCCAACTCTCGCGAGAGGTGACAGGGAGACACAGTCGGAGCCGCGAGGGACGACGGGAAGTGGAGTTCGAGCAGGGCAACGGGGATTGGGGACAGCGCTGGACCAACGCCTCCTCGAAGTCTCGCGAGAGGAGGAAGCTGGGGAGCGCGGGAAGTGAAGTCCCGACTCCCAGCGAGGACAGAAAGAGCACTGAGCTCAGGGAATTGTGGGAAATGGAGATAGGGCGCAGGGGATGACGGGAAAAGTAGTTCCATGGACGGGGCGGCAGAGGCGGGCGTTTGGAAATGTTATTCCATAGAGCCGGGACCGAAGGGGATGCTGAGAAATGTAGTTCCATGGAACAGGCCTGGGGGACAGGAGGATGCTGGGAAATGTAGTTCTCCAGCAGAATGCCTAGGAGGCTGCTGGGAAATGTAGTTCCAGGGGCAGAGGAGGCTGCTGGGAAATGTAGTTCCATGGAAGGGTGTCAAGGATTTTCCCCACCAATTTTTGAGGGGGTATTTCCCTGGAACGCTTCAGTGAGAACATTGCACCTGAACCATCGTGGATTGTCAATATCTACCGTCTGGGGAACTTAAACAAAACCTTGGGATCATTTTTCTCTGCAAAATTTTCTGCCATGCCCCTTTCGCTGGTGCTCGTGTGCAGATGTGATCGGCGCCTTCGCCTAGATGGAGCCATGGATGGACTTTACAGAGAGAGAGCGCAAGCGCGAGCGGACGGGCCTGTGCTATCGCTTGCTAAACACATGGGGCCAGGAATTAGCCCCCATTAGATGATCTAGCTGGAATCCCACAGGGTTGGGAACCTCCCCCAATGCTTCCTGCATCCAGCCCCACACCTCCCTGGCTGATCTAGAGCAGAGTTCAGAAAAAAACGTCTTGTCTTTATTTAAATACTCCACCTGAGGAAGAATCCACCCTGTTTCTGCATAAACAATCCTAGTAGCTAACAGACAAATGGAGCGGTGATTAGAGTAAGCGGGGTGTAGGTCTGAGTGTATGGAGATAGATACATGGGGGGGGGGGGGGAGGATGGATAGAGCGGTCCATATGGGGATGAACGGATGGCAAGATGTGCATATGGAGGGATGGATATAGATGTGTGTGTATGGGAAGGGATGGATATAGAGGGCCATTGTATGGGGATGGATGTATTCGGAAGTAAGGACAGGTTAGGTGGGTGTGGATGTGGACAGATAAAAGGGTTGTGGATAGAGAGGTGTGGATGTGGAGGGAGGCGGGAATAGAGGGGTGTGGATGAGGATAGATTGGATGTACATGGAGGGATGGACAGATGTAGATGGGGGTGCATGGGGAAGGAGGGATGGATGTAGGTGGGTGTGAATAGAGATAGATGGGGGATGTGGAAGGGGAGGGATATGTGGAGGGAGGGAGGGGTGTGCATGGGCAGAGGTGGAGAGAGAAGGATATATGTGGACAGAAAACTAGCTCTGGAACTCCAGTCAAATCCCATTTCAAGGTAATGGGATGCTATCAAATCATACATTGCAAACAAATCCGTTCCCTCTGCTGTCTCACTACCGCCCCCTGGGGACAGCAGTCAGCTCCACTTGAACCATCCAGCGACTCTTCCCCAAACATCCTGTTTCCTTCTGAATTAACATAGCAGGATCCTTTAGGGCTCATCTTCCCCCTAGTCCTGAGATCTGGGTTCTTTTCTGTTCCCATTTGAACAGGCTTTGTTAAGTATGAATGACATCCCCTTCGCTCCCTTATTGCCCTTGGCTCCATCCACTGGGGGAAATGGGTCAGCATATCACTGCACAACAGGAGGCATCCCTCCCCTAGCCGCGGGTTCTGTTGGGTCAGATAGCGCAGGCCCATTCTAAACGCTTGGGGCCAGGAATTACCTCCTTGGCTGTAGAGCGTCCCATCCTGACTGCAGTAGATAATTGTTAGTAGTCCTCTAACATGGAGCATTTTTTTCTGTTTGCTGAACCCTTGAGGCTCCCAGTGCCTCCTGCTCTAATCAATAGATGCTATTCCCCTCCCAGAGCTGGGGATAGAACCCAGGAGTCCTAGCTCCCACCAATCCTATTTCATTCCTTCTGTACACAGAACCTCACTTAAACACCATTGGCTCTGGGTTGGAGCATCATGCCCGTCCTGGAGGAAGCCCAGGGTCAGGGCTGTGTCAGCAGCTGGTGGTTGCGGAGAGCAGCCCCTCATTTTCGAAATACCTAGACCCCTCTGCTGCCACCATGTCCCCAGCAATAAAGCACCTCCTGCTGGCCTGGTTGGTGCTGCAGGCTTCCACAGCTGCTCCTGTACTCCGCTCTCTGTAGCAGGATCTTGGGGAGAAAGAGCACCCATGTGCCAAACACACCCTGCAATGCACTGTCACGGCCCTGCCAAAATGCAACTGCCACGGGAGTGAAGCACAGAGAAAATCTAGGGGCAGGGGCCAGTGGATCTTCCCTGCAAAGGACAGGGCAGGGAAGCAGGGGGCTTCTGCCCCTTTCTAGTTTTGTACCAGTGGAACAGGAGGGATGGGGAGTTTGGTTTTCGGGGGAGAATGCTCTGGAAGCCTCCCAGAGCTGGAGGAGAGAGTGTGTCTCCAGCCGTACAGCAGGGATTAGGAACGGCCAGCAATCACGCAGACCCCTCTCCGACCTGGATCAGGGCTGCTGTTGCATGAGGGGCAGTGTGGACCCCTCCCCAACTGGGACTGCAATGTGCCGGGGGCCGTGTGGCCCTTTCCCCACATAGGATCGGGGCCGTGTCACACTGGGGGCTGCACAGATCTATCCCTGCACAGGATCAGGCCTGTGTCACACCGGGGGCCGCACGGACCTCATCCCACATGGGATCGGAGTTGCCATCGCCCCAGGCTCTGCCCAGATCCCTCCCCGAATGGATCAGGGCTCCCACTGTGGTGGGTGCTGCCCAGACCGCAACTGAGACCGGGGCCCCCGTTGTGCTATGTGCCGCAGAGAGAGAGAATACGAGTCCCTGTCCCAAGCAGCTCACAATGGAAATCAACAAAGGGGAGGATAATTCTCCCCATTTTACAGATAAGGCCCAGAGAGATTTAAGGATGTGCCCAAGGTCCCCCTCAGCCTGCAGTGGAGCCAGGAATGGAACCCCGGTGTCCTGGATTGGTGCCCAAACCCCAGGATCAGCCCACATATGGCCTCCCTCATCTCACTGCGTCAAGGCACCAGCTGCCCCCTCCTTCCCGGAGACTCCCAGCCCTGGGCCTGAATATTTCATCACCGGCATGTTCCGATCCTGCAGTCATGGATTATAACCCGGATCCCTCACCCACCCCCACGTAGAAGAAATCACAAAGAGGAATGTATCCAGAAGCACCAATCTGGGGTTTAATTAAACTGGGAGGTAGGGGTTGGGGGGGGGAGGCAAAGAGGAACCGGCAGTGTCCAATGCAAGGGGCAGGGGGGGTCTCCAATACCCTTCCCCTGCAGCCGTGTTACCCCTTTCCGATCAGGTCCAGTGGGGAGAGGGAGGGGAGCGTCACAACGTCGATACAGGAATAGAAAAAGCGCGGTACATTAAAAATGAGGGGAGAGAAGAGGGGCGGGGGGATCCTTTAAAATCACCACCTCAAACCTGGTATAAATGTACAAAACCCAGCTCACCTGAGGGAGCAGGGACCTATTTACACTAGGCTGGGGGCCCCAGCTCCACTCCTGCCCCCCAGTCCACAGGGGAGCAAAGCAAGACACCCCCCGAAATCCCCACTTACGGGGAGATTTGGGGAACTTGAAGCCCAGACTCCTGCCCCGAAACCCCATGAGCTTGGGGAGATTGCCCTTTAACCCCCACCCGCCCTGGGGTGATCCCAACAACCCAGACCTAAACCCCCCAGGCCAGTAGAGAACACCCCGACAGCTGGTCTTTCTCCCCCAAGCCCTCTCCATGGGACAGCATAGGGCACCCAATGCCAACCCTCCTTCACCTGGACCCAGCCAGGCCAGGGGGAGATGGGGAGGCACAGCCACACCCTGAACCCCACTGTCCTGCCCCCCCCCTTCTGAGCTTGTGTCTGTGTAGCGGCCAGGGTGGGGGGTGCGTGTGGGGAGGTTCCTCAGCGTTCTCACCCCTGATCCTGGCCAGGCCAAGGGATGGGGGAGGGGATGCTGCACCTGATGCCACGGTGAGGGGAGTGGATACCAGTGCTGATGCCAGGTGGGAGGGATGCCGACTGGCCTGGTGTGGGGAGGATATACTGCCCCTGATGCTGGGGTGGGCGGGGGAGAACGCTGCCCCTAATGGCAGGGTGGGGGGATCCTAGCCAGCCCAGTGTGGGGAGGGGATGCCATCTCTGATGCCAGGGCGTGGGACCCACGGGCATCATTATCTGGAGTCCCGGTCCTTGTAGGCGGTGGTGAGCTCTCGGAGGTCCGGGGCACGGCGGGGGGAACTGGGCCGGGCGCCGGGCACGGCAGGGATGAGGGGCGGAGGGGCACCAAGCAACCCCTCTGGGGTTGGGGCTTTGGCCAGCAGCGCGGCATGGCGGGGGTAGGCCAGCAGCCCCGGGGGGTGCGGCCCCAGCCCATAGAGCCGGGCGCGCTCGTAGTCCTCGGGCAGCTCACGCTCCAGGTAGCGGGGCAGGGCGTAGGGCTCCCGCCAGGCCTCGAGGGTGGCATAGGGGGATCCAGGGGCCGGCCCAGCCACCAGGTACGGTGGCCGCTCGAAGACGGCCAGCGGCCCCAGCGAGTGGGGGACATGCAGAGCCCCGGGAAAGGGCCCGCCCGCCCGTAGTGCCCCCTCCAGGACACCCAGCTCCGGCTCCTCCTTCACCTTCACTTCCTTCTTGAGGACAGGGTCAGGGTAGGGTGAACGTGAGGCCCGGCCCCCCACCGGGCTGCCGTAACGCTGCTCCCGGCCTGGCTCGCTGTGTGCCCGCAGGGGGCCGTCTTCCAGCCCCAGGGAGGCGGGGTGCTTAGTGGGGAGGGGCGCTGGCGAGGCACGAGGGGGGGGCCTGGAGAAGAGGGTGTCCCTAGAACAGAGGTGGGGGTTAGTGCCACGAACTGGGCTGAGGCCCACACAATCCCCAACTCGTCCCCCTCCTCATCAGTCCCCGATCCCCCCACATTCCTCAGCCATCCCCCCCTCCTCAATCCCCAACCATTCCATCCCCTTCCTCCCCCACCCCCGCATCAGCCCTGATCCCCCCACAATCTGCCAGCCCGTCCCCCCTTCCCCAGAATCAGTCCTGCCCCCGCACCTGGACCTCATTGCCCAGATCCCACCCTGACCCCCCACAACCCTCAGCCAGCCCTGCAACCCTCATCCCCTGCCCTCTTGCATTGACCCCTGCACCCCCAGCCGGCCTGCCCCCACCTCATACCTGTCCTTCTCGTCCTTTATGGCAGGCACCTCCCGCTTGTCCGGCTCCTTGTCGTGCTGGGCCGGCCCGCGCTCAGCTGCATCACCGGCACCCCCTTTGGGCCAGGCGGGGGCAGTGGGGAAGGAGGGGGGCGTGCGGTGCAGCCGGTTCCATGGGTCGTGGGGGCTGCCGTAGGCCTGGGCCCCGGGGCTGTCCTTCTGCCCGAACATGGAGCTGGAGTCTGGGATGGGAACACAGAGAGCAGAGCATGACCTAGAACGCCATACACATGCTCCGCCGCTCCCAAAGTAGGCTCCGTACCCAGGGCTCTCCCTACAAAAGCTCCACCTCTGCCAAGGGAGGCCCTGCCCCCATGTCCCTTCCCTATCCAGGCCCTGCCTTATCCCATGGGGGATTAGCCTACAGAGGTTCCGAGAACAGGTCCTGCCCCCCAGGTGCAGGCCCCGCTCCTCTTCCCCCCCAGAAATCCCTGGGGCTCGCCTGCCTGCTCCAGCACAGGCCCTGCTTCAGGGCTGTCCCTCTTGGACACAACCCCTTCCCCAGGGCTCACTGAGGCCCCACCTCCTCTCACATGGGGGTCTCACTCCCCAGAGCTCACATGCCTCCACAACTTTTCCCTCATGGCTCCGCCCCCAGCCTCTCACCATGCAGGTCCTGCTCCCTCCCAGGTGGGCTTCGGCCCCCAGGGTCACCCCACATGGGGCCTAGAACAGCCCTCCCTCCTTCCCACACCGGAGTCCACCCTCACACCTGTGGCCCCGCCCCCTCTACTCACTGAAGGCGGGGTTCCCCAGGCCCCCAAAGGCCCCGTTGGAGAGCGCCATGGGGAAGCTGGTGGGGCGGCTGAAGGGATCTGAAAGGCAAGGAGGGAAGAGAGGGGTGAATGGGCGCAGCGATGCCCCCCAGGGCCCTGGTGCCCCATCCCTGGTGCGCCCTGCACAGCCCACGTGCCTCATGTGCAGCCCCTGACTCCATGCCTAGTCCTGGTGCCCTGTACCCTGCCCCCAACTCTTACCAATGTGTGCGCTGGGGCCCAGGAAAGAGCTATGTGGCGCGCTGGGAGGCCCAAAGGAGGCACCAGAACTTGCCTGGACGGCGCCTGTGGAGGACAGAAAGAGCATTAGATTGGTTGAGAGGAGGTCATCCCTACTGGCTAGCCCATCTCCCTCCCTCCCTCCCCCAGACTGAGCCCCAACCCCCCCACAGCCCCTGGGTGGCCTGTCTCTTCCCTCCCCCAATCGGCTCCAATCTCCCCACGTCCCCTACCAGCCCAGCACCCCCTCCCCCAGATAGGCCTCCAACTCCCATGGCACGCTTATGCCCAGTTTTTCCAATAACCTGGGTACCCAGGGCTGGGAGGGGGGCAGTGGCTGCAGGATCATGGGGCCAGGAAGGCGCTGACCTGCGGGGGTAAAAAGCGTGGCTGGGCGCGTGAGCTCTTGGCCATGAGCGAGGCTTCCAAAGGTCCCTGTGCCAGGAAGGCAGGTGATCAAGTCGTTCCGGAAATCCAGCTTGTGGGGATCACCCTGCATCAGCTGGGGAGAGGGGAGAAAGGAGGTCAGCAAAGGGGGAACCTAACTACATCTCACAGGGCCCTTCTAGCCCCCCCCACCCAGGCAGGGTCACCCCCAATGGTTACTCCCCAGGGCTCCATATGGCGTCAGCCCCCAGTCTCACATGCCTCGGTGCTAGGGAACGGGCCCTCCTGGAGTTCTGGGAACCCTGGGCCAGAGCTGACAGTCTGGGAGCACGTGTAATTCTGGGGAAAGTTAACAGCAGAAAGGTGAGGGAGGGGTCATCCGATTCATAAAAAAAAAAAAAACAAATCTACAGAATCCTCATTTCACTGGTGTCAGCCTCTGCGAGGGACTCTCAGTCCCCCCCAGCTCTAGGTCCTCTGGTTAGTGGAAGTTTGGATTATACGCCATCAGCAATGGGTCGAGTCGGGTATCATTCCAAAGCCCTTTCTCCCTGCACACAACGGGCCAAACCGCGAACAATTATGTAGTTTTGGATTAGAGAAAAATATTGAAAACCCAAAAGGGTCTTTTAATTCCCCTTTAACCCAGGGATGTGAACATGCAGCCCTCCCCGAGTGAAACTGGGGCCCTTGCCTGACAATCCCGTGGTAGTAGTTAATGCTCAGAACACGAGACCGGATTCATATTTCTAAGGTTACAAGAAAGGGAAGGCTGATTTGGCGTCAGCGGCAAAAGAGAAGTGCTTCATTGGTGTAGCTCATCACTGTTATCATCTTGGATTAGGAGGCCAAAAGAGGTATAATGGGGTGGTGGTGAAGACATCCAGCCACAAGTCACTGGGCTCCATCCACAAACTGCAAGCCTCGGGCAAGCGTGGAGCAGCACCAGCAGGGGCTGTGTTTTGCGGCGGGCGCATGGACCGTGGTACTGCAGGTGCTGGACGGCAGCTGGTGGGAAAGGCAGGGGGATGGGCTATGTGGCTGGTTCCTGGTGAGCTCCGTGCAGCTGCTGGAGGTAGAAGACCAGCTGCAACAAGTGCCTGGAGGGCAGGGGGTGCAGGAGGGGAGTGCAAGGGTTAGGGGAGAAGGGGCACAGGAATCCACTTTGGCCTTCCAGAAGCGACATGTCCCAGGGGGGAGGGAGGGGATGACACACGGGGTTACGTGGACCCCCCCCCGATTTCTTGGGATGCCCAGCAGCGAGGAGGCAGCGCTCCCCTTGGCAGCTGCTCTCTCTGTGTCCCCCTAGGAAGCAGCAGGGCGGCCTGCTCAGCCCCCCGCTCCGACCCCTCCATGGGGCTGCTTCTCCTTCCCTGCTGCTGGAGTGCCTGGGCTGCTGCCTGCTTTGGAGACTGCCCACTGAAGTGAGTCAAGGAGTGGAGGAAGAAGCAACATCTGGGGTGGTCACATGCCCCCCCCCCGAACCTTTCAACTGTACCCCCTGCTAGCCACAGTTATGCGTCGCCTGACCCGCCTGCCGCCCACTTCTACCAAGGTTCTGGTGCCCTTGACTGAGTAACCCTGGACCATCCCAGACAGTGGTTTGTCTAACCACTTTTATAAAACCTCCAGTGCCGGGGATTCCACAACCTCCCTCAGAAGCCCGGTCCAGAGCTTCATTACCCTTAGAGTTAGGAAGTTTTTCCTACTATCTAACCTCCATTGCCCTGGCTGCAATTTAAGCCCGTTGCTTCTTGTCCTACCTTTAGTGGACATGGAGAACAACTGGTCATAGTCCTTTTTAGAACAGCCCTTACCATATTTGAAGATTGTTAGCAAGTCCCCTCTCAGTTGACTTTTTGCTCAAGACTAACCTGCCCGGTTTTTTTAACTTTTCCTCCTAGGTCAGGTGTTTTAAAACTTTTTAATCATTTTTGTTGCTCTACTCTGGACTCTCTCCAATTTGTCCACATCTTTGCTAAAGTGTGGCACTCAGAACTAGACACCGTACTCCAGCTGAGGCCTCACCAGTGCAGAGTAGAGTGGGAGAATTGTCTCCCTTGTCTTCGATATGACACTCCTGTTAATACACCCCAGAACAATATTAGCCTTTTTCACAGCTGCATCACATTCTTGACTCATTCAATTTGTGATCCACTCTAACCCTCAGAACCTTTTCAGCAGTGCAACCACCCAGTTATTCCCCATAGTGTGCCTTTGATTTTTCCTTCCTAAGTGAAGTACTTTGCACTCATCTTTATTAAATTTCATCTTGTTGAATTCAGACAAATTCTCTAATTTGTCAGTGTTGTGTTGAATTCTAATCCTGTCCTCCAAAGTTCTTGCAACCCCTTCCAGCTTGGTGACATCTGCAAAATTTATAAGCATACTCTCCACTCCATTATCCATGTCATTAATGAAAATATTGACTAGTATCGGACCCAGGACTGACTCCTGTAGGACACCACTAAATACACCCTCCCAGTTTGCCAGCAAACCATTGAGAACTACTCTTTGACTACAATCCTTCCACCTTATGGTAATTTCATCTAGACCCCATTACCCTAGTTTGCGTATGAGAATGTCTGGTGGACTATATTAAAAGCCGTACCAAAATCAAGATATATCACAGCTTGAAGGAAATTCGTTTGGTCTGCCATTATTTGTTCTTGATAAACCCATGCTGGCTAGTCCTTATAACCCTATTATCCTCCAGGTGCTTACAAACTGATTGTTTAATTATTTGTTCCAGTATCTTTCCAGGTATTGAAGTTAAGCTGATTGGTCTATAATTCTCCGGGTCCTCTTTGTTCCCCTTTTTAAAGATCGGTACTGTGGCTGCCCTTCTCCAGTCTTCTGGGAGATCACCCTTCCTCCAGGAGTTCTCAGAGATAATTGCTAATGGTCTAAGATTACTTCCGCTAGTTCCTTAAGTACCCTACAATGACTTTCATCAGGCCCCGCCTACTTGAATACATCTAAAGTATCGAAATATTCTGCGATGGTTGCCTGGTTCCTTGCTGAAATAAGAGATGTAGAAAATACGGGAGGAATTTAGAAAAGGAATTTGGGTTGTTAAAAGGTTGCCAGTTCCTTTCTGTGCACTTGGTTCAGACGAAGACCTAGAACATGAAAACAGAGCATTGGAAGTCACTGGAGGATCGAGGGGCAGAACAGCACCCTTTCCTGGTTTCTCTCACAACGACAGGACTCCATCGAATTTCGCACATTAAGCATGGCTGGGATGACTTTCCCCAGAAGTAGCCAAGCATCGTCTAGATTCATTAGGTGGTGTTAAATGCCAAGAAGGCGTAACTGTAAAGCTACATGATGAGCTTACTTGCATTGGCAATCCATTTGCATAGAACGGTCTGGAGTTCATTAATAGCGTGAGATAGCTAAAGGTGTCGGTCGAATGGATACTTTGGGCCACGACGTGCATGAAGCCTTCAGCACCCAAACACTTATCCAAGACGGTGTCAATCTATAGGCTCCAATCAAGAACAGTAGACTAAAGCTGTGCTCAAATGCAAAGAAGGAAGTCAGAGTGAAAGGCTAACCAGACAGGTCACGGTCTGCTCATCTCCTGGCTGTGTCCAGATAGCAGCATGATGTTGATCTACATGAGACTTTGGGAACGTACGAGTTCTTTGTGGTACCACAATCTATGTTTGAACGCGACAGAACAATGCGTATGTACCAGGCAAGAAGCAAACTAATGCACATCTCACATGGGCTTCCTACTGACAACATGACCGGTGCCTTACGCCAGCAGAGGCCATTTAGCAAAGCAATCAGAGATGGTATGGCTGAGGTACAAGCTCTTGACAAACCAGAACCTGGTAACACCTGCCAAGATTTGGCTGAACATTTCATTATGAGGCTACAGAGAAAATACTGGACCTATGATAAACTCCAGCTCATGTTTGACACCTATGCGGGGGGAATCAATTAGCAATATTACCAGAAAGGAGATACTGCCCCTGTCCACAAACATCTCCAATTTCACACTGAAGAAGCTACTGTCTCATACTTGCACAAAGGATGAATTAACGGCGTCCATTGCAGGGACAACGCTGCAGCACGCAAAGAACTGATGGAAGAATTTCATCGTTGCATGGTGTAATAAATCTGCTGCTTTGCACTGTTCAGTGGAGTTTCTTCGTGGTTCCCATGAGGTGGCTGAGACTAAAATGATCTCGCCTGCCATCAAAGCCACAGAGAAAGAGGTGCTACTAAACTCCAGAGTTTTGCACAAGACACAGATGTTCTAGGTTCTGTTTTTGTGCCTGCTTCTGGAGAACAGAATCGCTGTATATCCCTCAGAGATGTGTTCCTATCACTCGGACCATTAAATGCTATCCACTGGCAGGTCTCCATGCCCTTTCAAGATGTGACACTATTGGAAGGTTGACAGGGAAGACCAAATTATCTTACTGGAAGGCATTTGATTCACCTCTCTCCTTGTCCAAAGGTGCTCGAAACAGCTGTGACAGTCACCGATGAGGTTTTTAAACTAAGGCTGGAGAAAAAGCCAACAGGTGCAAAGGAGCACACGGTTTGGACAGAGACATCCCATAGGGAGGATCTATTAACCGGGATTCTCTATATTCTAGTAAAGAGGAGAGGATAGAAGTTGATAAAGTACAGGTAGGAACAGAAGAGAAACAGTCGGATGAAAAGAAGTCCCATTCAAGTACATCACATGAAGGCAGACAACTAAAAGGTGATACATTTTATAAGTACTTGTATACAAATGGTAGAAGTCTAAATACTAAAATGAGTGAACTTGAGTGCCTTGTATTAAATGAGAATACAAGGCACTCAAAACTTGGTGGAACAATGACAATCAATGGGACAAGGTAATTCCAGTGTGCAAAATATATTGGAATGAGAGAATAGGTCGTGCTGTGGGAGAGTGGCACTATATGTGAAAGAAAGCACAGAGTCAAATATAGTGAAAATCTTAAATGAAATAAATTGTACTATAGAATCTCTATGAACAGAAATTCCATTCTTGAGTAATAAAAGTATAGCAGTAGGGATATACTACCGACCACCGGACCAGGATGGTGACTGTAAAATGCTCAGGGAGATTAAAAAGGCTATTAAAATAGAAAACTCAATAATATGGCGGATTTCAACTATCCCCATATTGACTGGGTACATTCACCTCGGATGGGATGCAGAAATACCGCTTCTAGACACCATTAATGACTGCTTCTTGGAGCACCTAGTCCTGGAACCCACAAGGGAGAGACAATTCTTGATTTAGTCCTATGTGGAGCACAGGATCTGGTCCAAGAAGTGAATATAACTGAACCACTCAGTAACAGTGACCATAATATAATTAAATTTGACATCCTGGGGGAGAGAGGGGGGAGAAGAGAGGAATACCAAAGAAACCCACCACAGTGGTATTTAAATTCAGGAAGAGGAACTACACAAAAATGAGTAAGCTAGTTAAACTGAAATTAAAAAGAACAGTCACAAGAGTAAAATGCCTGCAAGCTGCAGGGAAACATTTTAAAAACACAATAGAGGCTGAAATGAAATGTATACCCCAAATTAAAAAGAATAGTTAAGAGGACCCAGAAAATGCCACCACAGCAAAACAGAGTAAAAAAAGTATCTAGAAGCAAAAAGGCATTCTTTAAAAGTTGGAGGTCAAATGAGGAAAATAAAAAGGAACAAAATCTGGCAAATAAAGTGTAAAAATATAATTAGGCAGGTCAAAAAAAAATTTGAAGAGCAACTAGCAAAAGACACAAAACTAACAGCAAAATATTTAAGTACATCAGAAGCAGGAAGCCTGCTAAAAGTGGGGCCACTGGAGGATCAAGGTGCTAAAGGAGCACTCAAGGAAGACAAGGCCATTGAGGAGAAGCTAAATTCATTCTTTGCATTGGTTTTCATTGCAGAAGATATGAGGGAGATCCATACACTTGAGCCATTCTTTTCAGGCGACAAATCTTAAGAACTGTCCCAGATTAAGGGGTCAATAGAGGAGGTTTGGAAACAAATTGATAAGTTAAACAATAAGAAGTCACCAGGACCAGATGGTATGCATCCAAGAGTTCTGAAGGAACTCAAATATGAAACTGCAGAACTACTAACTGTAGTTTGTAACCTATCATTTAAATCAGTTTCTGTACCAGATGACTGGAGGATAGCTAATGTGATGCCAATTTTTAAAAAAGGCTCCTGAGCCAATGCTGGCAATTACAGGCTGGTAAGCTTAACTTCAATACCGGGCAAATAGTTTGAAACTATAGTAAAAAACAGAATTATCAGACACATGGATCAACACAATTTGTTGGGGAAGAGTCAACATGGCTTTTGTAAAGGGAAATTGTGCCTCACCAATCTACTAGAATTCTTTGAAGGGTCAATAAGCATGTGGACAAGGGTGATCCAGTGCATATAGTGTACTTAGACTTTTAGAAAACCTTCGACAAGGTTCCACACCAAAGGTTCTTAAGCAAACTAAGCGGTCATGGGATAAGAGGGAAGGTTCTCTCATGGATTAGTAACTGGTTAAAAGATAGGAAACAAAGAGTAGGAATAAATGGTCAGTTTTCAGAATGGAGACAGGTAAATAGTGGTGTCCCCCAGGGATCTGTACTGGGATCAGTGCTGTTCAACATATTCAGAAATGATCTGGAAAAAGGGATAAACAGTGAGGTGGCAAAATTTGCAGATGATTCAAAATTACTCAAGATAGTTAAGTCCAAAGCAGACTGCAAAGACATACAAATGATCTCACAAAACTTGGGTGACTGGGCGACAAAATGACAGTTGAAATTCAATGTTGATAAATGCGAAGTAATGCACATTGGAAAACAGAATCCGAACTATACATATAAAATAATGGGGTCTAAACTAGCTATAACCATTCAAGAAAGAGATCTTGGAGTCATTGTGGATAGTTCTCTGAAAATATCCACTCAATATACAGTGGCAGTCAAAAAAGCGAACAGAATTTTAGGAACCATTAGGAAAGGGATAGATGATAACACACTAAATACCATAATGCCGCTATATATATCCATGGTACGTCCACACCTTGAATACTGCATGCAGTTCTGGTCACCCCATCTCAAAAAAAGACACATTAGAATTGGAAAAGGTACAGAGAAGTGCAACAAAAATGATTAGGGGTATGGAACAGCTTCCACAGGAGGAGAGTTAAAAGACGGGGACTATTTAACTTGGAAAAGAGACGACTAAGGGGGGGTATAAGAGAGGTCTATAAAATCAGGAATGGTGTGGAGAAAGTGTTTTTTCCCTCTGCACATAACACAAGAACCAGGGGTCACCCAATGAAATGAATAGGCAGCAGGTTTAACACAAACAAAAGGAAGCACTTCGCACAATGCAGTCAACGTGCGGAGCGCGTTGCCAGGGTATGCTGTGAAGGCAAAAACTATAAATGGATTTAAAAAAGAATTTAATTAGATGCGTTCATGGAGGATAGGTCCATCAATGGCTATTAGCCATGACAGTCAAGGATGCAATCCCATGTTCTGAGTGTCCCCAAGCCTCTGACTGCCAGATGCTGGGACTGGACAACAAGGGATGGATCATGTGACGATTACCTGTTCTGGTCATTCTCTTTGAAGCACCTGGCATTGGCCACTGTTGGAAGACAGGCTACTGGGCTCGGTGAACTATTGGTTTGACCCAGTATGGCCGTTCTTATGTCATAAGTGCACTGGAGGTGTTCATATGCCGAGTTTACCATTTGAAGATCAACATTACAACACTTGCAGAGTTCCAGTGTCGATGTTTTCCGAGAAGCAGACCAACGGACATAAATTGCCACCGACAAGGGGTGCATTTAGACCTGCTACCAGAAGGGCAAATCATCAAGCAATGGAACGGCTCCAAGATGATCATGTGCATCCAAAACTACCCTCCTCCTATCAGGCACAGATGGCCTGACCACACCAGTTGTGTGTAAAATACCGTGTGCTCCTGAATTCATCCTTAGCGAATCAAACGCTCACATGCAAAGCCCAGATACCCATCACCCTGCAAATGTCTGGCCAGCAGACTGCCTTGTACAGAGACGTGCGAGTGCAGCATGGACAAAGATCAGTGTGACAACGTGCCTAGATGGAGAGGACCTCGATGATGACTTAGATGAAAACATGTTTTCAGTTCTACATGTCAAGGCTAACTTCCCTAGGATTACCAAAGAACCAGGGTTTTTTTATGTAATAAACGCATCCCCGGTTAAAGTACAGTTAAAAAAAAACCCGTTACCTTTATCAATCAAACTTGTAATCTCATTCCAAAAAAAAAAAAAAAAAAAAAAGATATTTGGTTAGTTTGACAGGATCCATTTAAATGTTCTGGGTTTGTTACGTTTGGTACTGTTGTGTTCGAGGGAGAAAGGGCTTTTGAATGATACTCAACTGGACTCATTTCTGATGACACAGTATTATCAAAATTCCCACCAACTGGAGGATCTAGATCTGGGGCCGGGGGCAACGAGTGCCCCCTGCCATGCCGCAGAGGGTAAAGCCACTGAATTTATAATTCTGGAGATATTTAAGACTCAGTTGACACCTCTCTTGCCTTTCTATGGCTAAGGTGCCCCCAGAATGAGTTTTTACTACATTATGCTCCCAGACTATGAGTGCAGGATCCCAGCTGTGCTCTCGCCCAGCACCGGTACTGCAGGGGGCGCTACTGGTCAGGATGTGCTGTCCCCTGCAGTGCCCACTGGGGCCTAGAAAGGGCACCACCACGACTCTACCTTCATCTTCTCCTGGTGCCGCAGGATCATGTAGGCCACGCGGACGTGCATGGAGCACCATTTGCCAGGCTTCTACAAGAAAGATGGGAAAGCATCAGCTCCTGGGACACACCAGGGCAGTGCCCCCGCCTGGGCTATTCCCCCTTTGTGACCCATTCCTCACAGCGCCCCCTGCTGAGCACAAGATGGGCTATTCCCCTGCCCCGTGACCCGTTCCTCCCAGCGCCCCCTGCTGGGCACGCACTAGCCTATTCCCCCCCATGACCCATTTCTCACAGCATCCCCTGCTGCAACAAGCGAAGTTACAGGATTGGTACACGTGGTTACTTACCCTCAGGGAGGGTCTGAAATGGTCCGTGAGCTACAAAAAGACAGAGAGCGGGCGGTTAGAGAGGGATCCGTGCCCACATCCCACACCATGCAAACAGCCCACTGCCCTGCTCACCTGACCCCCTTTCTGGGACAAAGAGGGGGCGACAGCTCCCAGCCGCGATGGCAGCTCTGGGTTAGTGCTCTGGGGAGAGAACAGGGGGTCAGGAGGCTACAACAAACAAATCCCCCTACCACAGCCAGAGACAAAACCAGGATAGAGTCCTCCCTCCCCCACAATTGGCTAGACTCCCAGCGCCCCCCACTCTAAGCCATGAGATCCCACTCGCCTGCCAGAGCAGGGGATAGAACCCATGAGCCCTAGCTCCCAGCCGCTATCCCCGTCCCCCGCCAGCTTTAACCCTCTAGGCCCCACTCCCTTCCCAGAGCTGGGAATGGACAAGGTCTACTTCCCCCACTCACCTTAGGCTGAAAAGCCCCCTGCAGGGAGCCAAAGGAAACAGCAGGGGGCAGGACAGGTTGGATCCCAGACACGGGAGGGAACGTGGCATAGAACTAGGAAGAGAGAGAGAGCATGGAGAGCTCACCGAGTGGAAAGGGAAGTGCCATCACTACAGGGGTCTCCTAGTCCCTGGGGAATAAGCAGCACCCTGGGACCTCAGACCTCAACCCCCGGGAACACCGAGCACTACAACATGGCCCAGCCTCCCCACCACTGTATTCCAGCACCTGGGAACCCCCAGCCCCGAATCATGTCCCCATCCTCCCGGTTATATCCCAATCCCCAGGAACCCCCAGCCCCAAGACACAGCCCTGGCCCCCCACCGCTACGCCTCAGCACTGGAAGCCCCAGCACTGAGAAACAGTCCCGTCCTCTGGCTATATCCCAGCCGCCGAGACACCCTGGCACTGAGCCACATCCTAGCCCCTGGGAACTCCCAGCACCGAGACGCAGCCCCGTTCCCCACCGCTATAGCCAGCCCCCAGGAAGAAATGGTTGCTCACCCTGGGCAGTAACTGTGGTTCTTCGAGATGTGCCCTCCGGGTGCTGCACTCTAGGTGTGCTTGCGCCCCCATGCCTTTGACTGGAGAGTTCTCATGGCACTGCCCTGGGCCGTCGTCATATAGCACTGCGCGGGCGAACCGCCCTCAGCTCCGTCTCTACCATGAAGCCCCATAGCCGAGAACTCTGAAGCGGAGGGGAAGGAGGGCGGGGAGTGGTGCGCGCATAGAGACACATCTCGAAGAACCACAGTTACTGCACAGGGTGAGTAACCGTCTCTTCTTCGTTGAGTAGTGTCCCTGCAGGTGCGCCGCTCCGGGGGACTACCAAGCAATTCCCTCTAAGGTCGGGGAGGATGGGGAGGGGCCTTCCAAGTCAAGTCCAGTACGGAAGAAAGTACAGAAAACACAGCATCAGAAGCAGCATTGGGAGTTACTGACTAGCGTTCAGCGAACGTGCATATAGAAGCCCAAATAGCAGCCTTACGTATTTCAATCATGGGCATGTTTTTGAGAAATATCGTAGAGGTGGAAATGGACCTCATAGAGTGAGTTCGTATGTCTGGAAGTGCCTGAATATTACAAGATTTGTACCAAGAATTAATGCAGTCAGATATCCACTTGGCAAGTCTTTGATTAGAGATTGCAGGCCCTTTTGATCTAGCTGCGAGTGAGACACACAATTTGTGGGTCTTTCTGAAGGGGTTAGTCCTATCCAGAGAGGAGGCCAGGGCTCTCCCAATGTCCAGGGTGTGCAACAATGCTTCTTGTTTATCTAGGTGAGGTTTGGGGTGGAAGATCGGCAGGTAAATGGGTTGGTTAATATGGAACTCAGAGGAAAGTTTAGGTAAAAATTCAAGGTGGGGTCATAATGTGACCACCTCCTTAAAAAATTCTGCGAAAAGGGGCCTTTGTGGCATGTCCCCCGTTTCCTCAACCAGTCGTGCTGACAGGATGGCTACCTGGAATGTTGTTTTCACTGATAAATGGAGCAGGCAGCTCAGTTTAAACTGTGAACTTGTAAGGCATTTAAGAACCAGATTACGACACTTGACTGACCGATTCTGATTTCTGAGCTGCCTGAGGAACCTCAATATTGTCGAGTGGGCAAGAACAGAATAACCCTCTATTGGAGAATGGAAAGCCGGGATGGCTCTAATGGAACTCAGCAATAGCCCCGACATTTTTAGAGTTAGGATATAGTCCAGTATATCTGGCAGCGATGAGGTCGGTGGAATATGTCGGCGGTCACACGAACAGATAAATCTTGTCCATTTGAGAGTATGTGTAGCGAGTAGACTGTTTTCTGCTGCGTAACTACTCTTTTTACCTCCTCTGAGCAGGCGGTCTCTAATCCCATGAACCACGGAACAACCGTACTTTAAGACGAAGCACTCCAAGGCTGGGGTGAAGGATCTTCCAACCCTTCCTGGGAGAGCAGGTGAGGAGCAATGTGGAGAGCGATCGCTGAGCAAACGAACCGCTGTATTAGGTAAAGAAACCATGTTTGTCTGGGCCCGATCAAAACTATTTGGATGACTCTGGCTCTGTCCTTTTTTATTTTGAGCAGAACTTTGGCTATTAGAGGAGTCAGTGGGAATACATGCAGTAGATCCGACAACCAATGAAGGCATCTCACAGGAGTCGGTGACCCAGTCCGCCTCTGGAGCAAAACTAGGCACATCTCTTGTTTATTGCTGGGGTGGATTGGAAATTTCAATCTGCTAATCGAGCATCCTTCTCCAGTTTGGGACCTATCTGGGAGGTGCCCCATTACCGGAATATGTAGTGTAATATGCTGGAATCTATTTCTCACTCGTGGTCTTGGAAGAAGTGCCTGCTGAGAGTATCCATTGTCACATTCTGAGCCCCTGGAAGACGGGCTGCTGTGATGACGCTCTGATTGTATACGCACCAATTCCAGAGCTTGACAGCCTCAGTGCAGAGGGAGGGGGATCGTGCGTCTCCTTGCCAGTTGATGTAAAACATGCATGACATGTTGTCTGTCACAACCTTTATGTACTTGCCCCGATTAGTGGTAGAAACCGGAGAAAGGCGTATCTGACCACTCGGAGTTCCAGGAGGTTGATGTGTAGCATGGTCTCTTGTGACGTTCACTTGCCTTGGGCCATGTGAGCATCCAGGTGCTCTCCCGACCCTCGCATGGAGCATCAGTCATTATGATGAGCGTTGGGAAAAGATGTACAAATGGGAGTCCTGCGCACACGCCGTGATGGTCTTTCCAACAATTGATGGACTGTTTTATGCAAGTGGGTATGGAAAGAAGCATATTTAAACTGTGTCTGTTTGGTGACTAAACACTCCTGAGCCACCCTTGAAGGCAGTGCAATCGGAGTCTTGCGTGATCGACTAGCTGCCATGTGCCCCAACAACTGAAGGCAGTTCTTGACCGAAGTCTGGGTGCTGAGCTGGATTGTATTGGCTATGTTGGAAAGGGCCACACACCTGCGCAGAAGAAGGTAGGATCCTGCTGTTACTGAATCAAGATGCGCTCCTATGAACGCTAAGCTGTGCACAGGGGTCAAAAGGAGATTTTTGAATGTTCAGTTGTAGGCCCAAGTTGAGGAAGAGATCTATGGCTTCGGAAGTGGCCCATGAAGTCAGTTCCAGGGAGCGACCCTTCAGCGGCCAATCATACAGGTAAGGGAACCCTAAAATACCTTTCCTGCGGAGCAGTGTTGCTATTACTGAGATGACTTTCAAAAAGACCCTCGGGGCAGATGACAGGCTGAAAGGGAGCACCTGGTACTGACTGTGGTCCTGGCTGACAATAAAATGTCCATTGTGAGATGGCTGGATTGCAATGTGGAAAGGCACATCCTGAAGGTCAAGGGCCGAGAACCAATCCGCTGGATCTAGTGACAGAATTAACACTGCAAGTGTCACCATTTTGAATGTTTGTGCCTTCACCTAAGTGTTGAGTAGCCTCAAATCTAGGATGGGTCTCCCAGGGCCATTTTTTTTTTGGTATTAGGAAGTGCCTGGACTAAATCCCCTTTCCTCTGTGCTGCATGGGAACTGGTTCTGTAACACCCGAGTGTAGGAGAGAGGCTATTTCCTGACAAAGCAAGCTCCCGTGAGAGGGGTCCCTGAAAAGGGACGGAGAGGGGGGTTGGTCAGTGGAAAAGATGTGGAGGGGATGGCGTACCCTGTGGAGATGATCTCCAAAACCCATCTGACTGTAGGGATCAACTCTCAAACGTGTCTGAAGAGGTAAAGGTCGTTGCCAAAGGGAGGAAGGCAGTGGAACTGGTGGAATTGGTAAGGATGAGGGTGGTAATTCAGAAATCTCAACTAGCCCATCAGAATTGCTGTGCAGAGGTGGAAGGGTGCAAGGCAGAAGGCTGAGAGTTGGATGGTTTCCTTCTCTGGAATTTGGGTGTCTTCTGCTATGGTTCACACAGCCTCTGGGAGATCAGGAATTGAGCTGTCTGGGATCTCGGAGCTGTCTGGGACTTGCTAAACCATCTATTGTAGGCAGATGTATAGTTCCCAAGAGAACACAAAGTAGCCCTAGAGTCCTTTAATGTGCTCAGAGATTCATCTGCCCCGTCTGCAAACAGTTTACACCCATCAAAAGGAAGGTCTTCCACCGTATTCTGCTCCTCTTTCAGAGATCCAGAGCTGGAGCCAGGAAGCCCTTCTCAGAACTACTGCTGCAGAGATCGAATGGGCAGCAATATCGACAGTGTTGAGAGAGGCTTGTAGTGGTGTTCTGGCAAGTAGCTGGCCCTCCACAATAATGGCCTGGAATTGCTCTCTATGCTCCGCCAGTACGCGGTCAACAAAAGAGTTCAGTTTGGTGTAATTTATATGATTATTAGGCCCTACCAAATTCACAGCCCATTTTGGTCAATTTCACCGTCATAGGATTTTAAAAATCGTAAATTTCATTATTTCAGTTCTTTAAATCTGAAATTTCACAGTGCTGTAATTGTAGAGGTACTGACCCAAAAAGGAGTTGTGGCAGGGGGGTCACAAGGTTATTGTAGTGGGGGTTGCGATACTGCTACCCTTACTTCTGCGCTGCTGCTGGCGGCAGTGCTGCCTTCAGAGCTGGGCAGCTGGAGAGCGGCGGCTGCTGGCCGAGAGCCCAGCTCTGAAGGCAGCACCCCGCCGCCAGCAGCAGTACAGAGTAAGGATGGCATGGTATGGTATTGCCACCCTTATTTCTGCGCTGCTGCCTGCAGAGCTGGGCCCTCAGTCAGCAGCCGCCGCTCTCTGGCCGCCCAGCTCTGAAGGCAGTAGCACAAGAATGATGTGGTAGGTATTGCCACCCTTATTTCTGTGCTGCTGCTGGCGGGGCGCTGCCTTCAGAGATGGGCACCCAGCCAACAGCCACCGCTCTCCGGCCACCCAACTCTGAAGGCAGCGCAGAAGTAAGGGTGGCAGTACCCCGATCCCCCTAAAATAACCTTGTGACCCCCTGCAACTCCCTTTTGGGTCAGGATCCACAATTTGAGAAACGCTGGTCTCCCCCGTGAAATCTGTATAGTATAGGGTAAAAGCACACAAGAGACCAGATTTCCTGGTCCGTGAAGCATTTTTCATGGCCGTGAATTTGGTAAGGCCCTAGTGATTATATTTCACCATTAACACCTGATAGTTGGTTATTTTAAGTTGTAAGGAGGCTGACGAATAAGATCTTCTACCAACAAGGGCTAAACGTTTATCATCTTTCATGGGATGTGGATTTAGCACAGTGCTGCCCTCCATATTCGTTAACTGGGTCAACCACCAAAGAAGTAGGAGAGGGATGCAAAAAAAACCAAGTCTTTTGCTGGAATGTAATATTTCTTATCCGTTCTCTCACATGTAGACAGAATAGTGCCTGATGATCGCTGCGGGGTCCAGAAGGGCCTTGTTGACAGGCAAGGCTATGTGGGCAGATGAGGGTGAATGAAGGACACCAAGCAGTTTATGATGAGGTTCTTTAACCTCCTGGAGAGAGATCTGCAAGGAGTTGGCAATTCTCTTGACCAGATCCTGAACTGCTTAAAATCATCCACCAAGGATGGAGGAGGAGGCATGACTGCTTCATCAAGAGTTGAGGAGATGTGGCCGGAGGAGAGACCTCTTCACTGGCTTTAGTTTCTTGCTCCTCAAAAATTTCTTCTTGAGGATCAGGTCTCCTAGAGAGGGCAGGCGATGAAGGTTGCCCATCTTTGTGATGGGTGGTGCTCGAAGCCCTGGAAAATTGTTAACGATAGGCTGCTTTGGTACCAAGGACGCAGAGGAAGAGCTTTTCTTGCTGCTCTGGTCTGCTAACGGTACCAACGATCTCGCTGGGCCTGAGGCTTTGCCATCTTTTGGTCTAGTGGTGCCCTCGGAACCTGAGGAACCAGCAGCCTCACAGGTACCAGATTGGAGAACAGATAGTGCTGAAGTAGCTGAAGATACGGATGAGCTTGGCTTTTTTGAGATAAATTCTACCTGGTAAACTCAGGGCACGACCTTTGGAAGGCTTATGAGAGGAGTCTTGCATCTTCCTCCTAGATGCCATCGATGAGAGCAGTTGAGAGATAGTGGAGGTAGCATATTTTCCTGGAGACTGGTGTACAGGAGGAGTCCCTTGGCCTGGGTCAGAAGCCAGGCGTAGTGAGCTCTCCATCACCAGGAGCCGAAGTTTGATCTCCCAGATTTTTCTGGCTCTAGATGTCAATGCCAGACAGAATTTACACTTTCGGGCAATGTGTGATTCCCCGAGGCAACAAATGCACTGAGGAGTGCCCGTCACAACAGACAACATTTGACACCGGGAGAACCGGGCATAACCTCCCAGTGAACAGGAACTACCTTATCTACTAACTAATATCTATCTAAATGTAACAGATTTTTTAAACAAATATTAATTATTTTTCATAACTAGGAAGCTAAAGCTACTACTACCACTTGTTAACTAATTACACTAATGTTAAACACTACAAACTAACTACTACAATAACAAAGCAGAACACAGTTGAGGTAATCTCAATGGGAACCACTGCCAGAGTTCTGTCTCCAGCTGAGAAGGAACTGAGGGTGGTTCGCTCACGCAGTGCTATAGAACAGCAGCACGGGGCACGAGCGGACCAGACACTGCTATGAGAAATCTCCGACCAAAGGCGCAGGGGGCACAAGCGCAACTACAGTGCAGCAACCATAGGGACACTGCTCGAAGAACCACCCCTGGGATTGAGACATGACCCCGTCCCGCCCCGCAATATCCCAGCGCCCAGGAGCCCCCGGACCCAGACACCGCCCCGCCCCCCCCCCCCCCCAATATCCCAGCCCTTGGGAACCCCTGGCACAGGGTAGTGGCTGCCAATGCCGCACTCACATTATGCCTCAGAAGCCCATCAATCTTGCCTGGGTATTTCTCAAACTGGAAAAGAAAAAGTGGGATATAAGGGGAACCCAACGCACCAGTGCTCTCTAGAGGGGAAAGGGCCTGTGTCCCTTTCCCCGCTCCCCCTGAGGCAGTTTCCTGCCCTGGGGTCGGACCGGAGCTGACGCCCCCGAAGGGTCACTCACCATGGCGGGGGCGGGCATCATGCCCGGCGGGAAGGGGGTGAAGTGCTGGTGCGTGTGCTGGTGGGTGTGCTGGTGCTGGTGGTTGTGCTGGTGGAACTGGAAGGCCAGCGGGCGGATGGCGGCTGCCCCCATGTCGGCCCCGCCCTGCGCCGTCAGGAACCGCGAGCTCAGGCCCTGCCGGATCAGCTCTTGTTCTGAGCAGGGACAGGAGAGAGCAGGGGGTGGAGTTATCTGGGGGAGATGGGACCCCCTTGTAGCCCCTCCCCCTCAACCCCCCAGAGAGATGGGACCACCCCCCACCACCTCTTCCTGAGAAATGAAACCCCTTCCACAACCACCAGCCACCTCCGCACCCTCCCAGAGAGATGGGATCCCCTTGCCGGCCCCTCTCCCCTGGAGATATGGGAACCATCTTCTGCCAGCCTCACCTTGAAAGATGTTCCCCTCCCTCCTCCGCCAACCCCTTCCCAGAAGAGATGGGACTGCTCCCACCAGCCCCTCCCAGCCAGCCCTGCCTTACACCCCCCCACCCCCAGTGCCTCCCTCCCAACTCACCGGTTAAGGCTGCGGCTGCGGCCGGGTGCCCGGCGACCTGGAGCAGAGGGGGTGGTGGGGGCAGGCCCGGAGAGGGGGGGAAGAGGGGTGGGTGATGGTGGGTGGGGGGGCGCAGGGTGGAAGGGAAGGCATGGGGGGGCAGGGCCAGCGAGGGGGTGGAGGGGCGGGGAGGAAGCTGCGAGGAGGAGGAGCACGGGGGCAGCAGGGGCTTGGCGTGTGCGCTGCTCCGGCTGCACCTGCAGAAGACAGAGAGGAAGAGAGAAAATCAGCCCAGGGGAGAGAACGAGCGAGACCGAACGAGAGGAGAGTAAGTGGGGGGAAGATGAGGGGGTACGGAACACGGAAAGGAACGGGGGAGGGGGGGACACACGCGATTGAGAGAGAGCAAGAAAAGAAGGGGGGGAAAGGCGACAGAACGAAGGGGGACAGAACGAGGCAGGAATGCACGCCCTAGCTCACTCACCCGGCGATGCTGAGGTCCAGCCCTGCTCCATAGGGCCCCGGCGGCGTGGGGCTGGCGAAGGGCGCTCCCTTCCCATGCACACTGGGCTGGGGCAGGCCGTGGGGTGCCTGGCCCCCCTGCGGCGCCGGCGGCTGGCCCCGGGGCTGGGGCGTGGTGCGGGCAGCAGCCGGGTTGGGTGTCCGGGAGGGCGGCGGGGCTGGAGGAGTAGGGGGCCGGGCCGGGGCCACAGGGAGGGCTGGGGCTGCCTGAGAAAGGGGGTCCTTGGGCAGGAAAGGCACTAGCAGGGGGTCCCCGTCGGTCTCGTGGCTCCGCTCCTGGCTCCGCTCCAGCCCTGAGACCTTGGGGATCACAGAGAGTTTGGCTGCACAGCTCCCGTTCACGGCACCAACTGGGCCCGAGGCTGGGGAGAGAGACAGCACCCAGTGAGAGACCACCCAGCACTAGGGGGCACTCCCCTGGCTGCCAGTGCTGCCCTGATGCCCCAATGCAGCGCTGGGGGTGGGGTGGGTGGGTGCTGCCATGCAATGAGCAGGGTGGTGGGGGCTCAGTAGGAGGCACTCTCCCCAGCAGTCAGTGCTAGGGGTGTGTGACAGGCTGTACCCCATGTTCACACTTTTCAATAGACTATGATAAATTGTGTACAAATGTATGCCTTGTGAGGTGGTACTTGAAAACTCAATCTGCTGAACATTTTTGTCCTGGTAAAATATGTGTGGCAACAATGTATGTGAAGTTATAAGATTCTACTGTATCACATTGTTGTAACGTGTTCCAAGTTTAGAAAAGCAGGCCCAAAACCGTTCTTCAGAGACAAAAGACACATTGTCGTCCCGGCCAGGTAACCAATGAACCATCATATACTACCACCTAGATAAGCGGCCATTCTTTGGCAGGAAGAAGGGTGTGAGCGAGAACTTTACATATTGACAAAGCCACAGTTGGGGGGTTCCGTGTAAACGGACTGCCTGTCGCCTGAACCCCAGCTGGAGATAATCCTCAAAGAGGAAAAAAGGGTATGAGAAACAGTGGCCTCCAAATCATCTCTCTCTCCATATCTCTACTCACAACAGCAGTGAAGTTGGAATGACAAAGGCAGCATCACTGAACTGGGAGGAAATCCTGACTGAAGCAATCCAGTCAGACTGCTGTAAGCTTATGGTGAGAAAAACATTTTTGCTTTAAGTTCTCTTAGCTTGTTAAGGTAGGTACTTCCTCGTAAAAGGAAGTATTTTTTCACACACCGCAGAGTCAACCTGTGGAACTCCTTGACAGAGGATGTTGTGAAGGCCAAGACTACAATGGGGTTCAAAAAAGAACTAGATATATTCATAGAGGATAGGTCCATCAATGGCGATTAGCCAGGATGGGCAGGGATGGTGTCCCTAGCCTCTGTGTGCCAGAAGCTGGGAATGGGTGACGGGATAGATCACTTGATGATTACCTGTTCTGTTCACTCCCTCTGGGGCACCTGGCATTGGCCACTGTCAGAAGACAGGATACTGGGCTAGATGGACCTTTGGTCTGACCCAGTACGACCATTCTTATGTTAGGTATTAGTTTGCCTTTTTGATTTTTATTTTCTTTGTAACCAATTCTGACTTTGATGCCTCATTACTTGTAATCACTTAAAATCTTTCTTTCTGTAGATACGAAACTTGTTTTATTGTTTTAAGAAACTTGTTTTATTGTTTTATCTAAGCCAGTGTGTCTGGATTGAAGCATTTGGGAACCTCCACTTGAGATAAAATTATATGCATATAATTTTCCATTGATGAAACGACTGTCTTTCTGTGAGCTTGTATTGCCCAGCTGGGAACTGGGCAGTACAAGACGTCCATTTCTGGCGGACAAGGCTTGGACTGGGAATTTGCTGGTGTCGCCCTGTATGTAATTCATGAGTGGCTGGCCAGAGCCCTCCTGTCATTTAGCTGGGAACGATTCTGCAGGCTAGGGGCTATGAGTGAGTAGGACCAGGAGTGGCTGTTCTCACAGCAAAGCAGTGCAAAAGGCACCGCAGGCTAGAGAATGAAGGGGACACAGTTGTTCAACAGTCCGGATTGTACCCAGGGTAATGTCACAGGGGGCGCTGTGCTGCAGCGAGCAGGGTGGGGGCGCTCGGTAAGGGGCGCTTTTTTCCTTTAGCACCCACCTTTGTTGGTTGAAACAGTGAACGATTGATCCAGGTCATCATTGGAGGCCTGATAGGGAGAGAAATGAACTCATGTTATTGCTGGCTGTGGGGAGCCCCCTGCTGCCAAATACACGCCAGGCGCCACCCACCGTCCTTGATTCTCTGGGCTCCCCTCCCAAACACACCTGCCCGGGGGAGGGGGGGATTCAGGGATGTGGGGGCAGGAGGGGTGGGCTGGTGGAGTTCAGGGGGTGGGGATGGGAGGAGGAGGGAGCAGGAGGAGGGGTGGGGTTCAGGGCCTCTCACCTGCTCCCCTGGGTCACTCTCCATGTCGCACTGCAAGGGAGAAAGACAAAGGTGGGATGAGCGGAGGGCGAGCTGCCCGAGCCTGCCCCTAGGGGGTGCCGTGGGCCAGACAAAGGGGGGAGAGGCGGAGCGCGAGGGAGCCACTTACTATGTATCCTGTTTCCAAGTAGGAGCGGAGGGAGGCCTGTGGGAAAGAAGGGGTACGATTGGCAGCACCACCCCCTGCTGAGCAGAGTTGGGATGCCCCTGCCATGTCATGAACACCCCCCGGCCTGCATCCCGAAGTCCTCATCCAGCCCCACCCTCCCTTGCACCCCCATGCTCCGTCTCCCCGCACCCTCCCTTGCACCCCCAGCCTTTTCCGCGACCCAGCCCCTACTCTTCCAGCATCCCGTCCCCCTTTCACAGCACCCACCCACCCCTGCAATACCCTGCCATCCCCCTGCCCAGCTCCCCACCCTCCCTTGCAGCCCCATGTCATCCAGCCCCCCAGTTCTCCCTGCCCAATCCCACACCCCCCTCTCCACTCACCTCTTTCCTCCTCCTCTTGCTGCGTCTCCTCAGCGCCCGCTCCCCCGCATGCCGCCCACACCCCTTCTCTGAGCTCTCATCACGGCCCTCCTCCTCCTCTGAGCCGCTCCCCTCGTCCCGCTTCCGCTTCCCCGAGTGCTTCAGCCGATGCTCTAGCCGCTCGGGGGTCCTCAGTGTCGTGTCCTTCTGTGGGGAGGGGGAGATGGTGAAGCAGCTCCTTGAGGACAGATGACACCTGCCCAGCCACCCCTAATGAGTTCCCTCACCTAGCGCTCAGACGCAGCCACCTCTGGGGTGGAGCTGCTCCCAGTATAAGCAGCTCCACCCCAGCGCTGAGATATGGCCACCTCTTGGGCAGGGAACAGGGGCTGTTTACATAGGGATCCCTTGCCTGGTGCTGAGAAGCAGCCACCTTGGGGGCGGGATGTGACAGGTTACAACTGCCCTAGTGGAGTTCAACCTTTACTCTGGGGTACACGCCTTGATTCCTAATCAGTCCAGTCTGACAAGAGGAGCGAGCATGAGTCACCGCAGAACAGGAACACACTGAGACTGGAGAGCTCCCCACCCTGCATTGCTGAAACCTGGATTCCCTGCTTCAAATCTTAACCGGAAGATGTCTTACGGCATGTCTACACTGCCCACGTTACAGCGCAGCCGCGCTCTGCCGTGGGCAACGTAGTCACGCTTTATCGCCAGGGGAGAGCTCTCCTGGGGATAAAAAATAACCACCTCGAACAAGGTGTCTATACTGGTGTTTTTTCACACCCCTGAACGAGTGAAGTTTTGGCAGTGTAGACACAGCCTTACTTGCGGCCTGACACAGCACCGCTTCCCAAAGGAGAGCAACCATCTTGGACACAGCGCCCAGCATCCCAGACAAAAGTCATGGCCCCATTCCCCCCGGCTATATCCCAGCCCTCGGGAACCCCTGCCATTGAGAGATAGCCCCATCTCTCCCACTATATCCAGTGCTAGGAACCCCCGGTTCCAACGTCCAGGCATCCCCGTCCCCCCCAGTTATATCCCATCCCCCGGCACTGCGACACAGCCCCTCCGTCATGCTATATCCCATCCCCTAGCATCAAGATGCAGTCCTGTCCCGGCCCCCACCCCCGCTCCACTATATCCCAGCCCCCGGAACCCCCCATCCCCGAGACATATCCCTGTCTCCCCAACTATATCTCAGCCGACAGGAACCTCAGGCACCTAACTATGTCCCTCACTATATTCCAGCTCCCGGGAACCCCCAGCACTGAGACATGGCCCCATCTCCACGGCTATATGCCAAGTACTCCAGAAACATAACCCCATCAATCCACCCTATCCGGGCTAGGCTGCCTATAATTGTCTGTTTTGGGTGTGGTGTACGTGTGTTGCACACCACTGTGCTTCGCCTGGAATGGGCTCTGCTATGTGTCTCCTGTGCCCTATAGTGCCTGTGGCTGAGAACGATTCTCAGCCCCTCACCTCCAGTGCCTCCAGACTGATGAAACTAGCAATGGCGAAGCCGTCAATCAGATCCTCTTCCTCCTCCTCCTCCTCCTCATGGCTGCAGGAGGAGCCTGATGGCCTCGTCCTCCGGCGCAAGGGCCGGCGCCGGGGCTTACCGGGCGCCACAGGGGCCGGCGGGGCGGGACCTTCGCTCTCCGAGTCTGAGGAGGAGGAGAGGATGCCCCGGTGGGCGGGCTCCCCTGGACGTCCCCCCCGACGTTGGCTCCGGCGGCTCTCGCGGTCCCGCCGCGAGCAGCGACGCAGCCTCCGGGCCCTGCCACCTCCCCCGCTCCAGCAGGGGGCAGGAGCTGCCGCTGCTTCCATGCTGCCCCCGGCCAAGCCTCTTCCTGCGACGCCCTTCACCCCTCTCCAGCCTGCTGCATGGCAGCCGTTCTGAACTGGGTCCTCTCCTCTGGGCGCTGATTGGTGGAGAACCGGAGGGGGGAGGTGCTCCCCCAGGAAGTGGAGGGGGTGTGTCTTCGTCCTCCCCTTTAAACACTTGCTGGCAACCTCCCCTTTAAGGGGGATTTTGACACACGCTGGCAATCTTCCCCTTTGAAATCCGATTTCGGGCCCCCCAACACGAACTCCCTGTGGCAGTTTCTTTGGGGGGCCTCCCCTTCAGAACGCCACAGCGGCTGCTCTGTGCGTCCTCCCCTTTAAGGCAGGCCTTTCAAATAATAAAGGTTTAATGTCCCTTGACATAAACTCCAAGCCTGGGGCGGGCCGAGGTGCACCTCCCCTTTAATTCAGATTAACTTGCTGCTGAAACAAGCGAGGCTACAACCCTCTTTCCAAGGACCTCCCCTTTAAGGATAGGCTTCTCGCACAGGGCCTCCCCTTTAATCAGGCCTCACATCACCCCTGCGGGGTTGGGGCCCCTAGATTTAAATCCCTCCTCGCACAAAGTGCAGCGGGGGGTGGGTGGCTTCTGGGGTTTGGCCTCCCCTTTAAGTGTGCGGGCTCGACCCCCCGACCACAGACAGTCCCTGTGGCAGGCGGCCTGCTCGCGAGGCAACTTCCCCTTGGAGAGTCCGGATCAGCCACCAAACACGTCGGAGGGGAGGAGTGACTTCCCCTTTAAGACTCCAGCTTCCACTTCTGCCAGCAATGGCAATGGTCGATGGGCCGAGGGAGGAACCTCGCCTTTAACAATCCAGGGGCAAAGCTCCCCCCGCAAACGCGTCTGGCTTCGCGGGACTCGCCTCCCCTGCACGGATCCAGATTGTACGGCTTCACTGCCCCTTTAAAGGGTCACTGCCCCTTTAAGAAACCGGACTGAAATCGCTTCTCGAATTTCATGTCAGGGGCCACGTCCCCTTTAAGAACCCGGAGTTTAAGTCTCACCAGCCACTTCCGTAATTAGGCCAGCTGGCGTCCCCTTTAAGAACTTGGCGTCAAACTCCTCCGACAAGAAACCCCTTTCCACAATGGGGCAGGAGCGAACTCCCCTTTACCAGCTCCGGGCTCCCTTTAAATCCATTGACAGGCGCTGGGATGAAGAGGGGGGTTGTTTTCTTCCGGCAGAAATCCCCCTTGACGCCTGACGTTGCTCTGTCCCTTTAAGAAAGCGGCCGTAGAGGGCAGGAATCCGTTGACGGGGCGGGGAGGGGGCTCTCGCGGCTGTTGCGGGGAGCGGGGCGTCTCGCGACCCCCGCGCTGATTGGACGCGAGGCTCGTGCCCAGCGCTGTCCTCGCTGCCCCCCGTTGATTGGCCGGAGCGGTGGGGATGGAATGGTTCAGTCCGAGCCAGTCTCTGTTTCCCTCACGGGAGGGGGCCCGGTTGGTCTCGCCCTCCCCCTCCACGGGCCGCGCCCCGCTCGCGACTGTCCCCCGACTCTCTCGGCTGTCTGTCTCTGCGCGTCGCTGCCGGATCCTCTTCTCTGCGCACGGCACGCGACGCAATTCCGTCCACAGCGTGCGATCCCTCCGCCATCTGATGAAAGCGCAGAAAGAGGAAAAAAAATCCCTCAGTTGGAAGTAGTTCCTGCAGCCCCTCCCCCACATTGTGATGTCACAGCGTCCCCAGGAGACGCAACAGCCTGGTGATGTCACAGCCCCACAAACTGCAGCATGATGTCACAGCACAGCTTGATGACATCACATCCTAATGTGATGTCATAGCCCTGCCATACTACAACATCACAACACAATGACACCTGATTCTGTCCTGATGTCACAGCCCCAGTGCCCCACCCAACCACAGCACCATGGCACAGCTGGTCCTGCTCTCAGAGTCCCATGCAGTCACACCAGGCCAGTCCAAACCCAGCTCCATCCCTCCTCCACCCCAAGCCACAGCAGTGGGGAGGGGGTATGACCCAGGATATCTCATCCCTATCCAGTGCCAGCACTCAAGGGACAATCACTTTGTTCATACAGCGCCAAGCACAATGCAGACCTGGACTGTGACTAGGGCTCCTAGGTGCTACAGTAAAGGAGTTGCCTTAACACTGGCCTCCTCCCATCTCCTTTCCCTCGCATGAAAACAGGAGCCTCTTCTGCTGCAGCTCCCACCCTCTTTGGAACCCTTATTTGGCAGCTCTGGGCCTGCCATAACCACTGCAAGGCAGACTCTGGCAAGGCATTGCAGTGGCTATGGCAGGCTCAGAGCTGCCAAATAAGCCTGAACAAGCAAGGCGCAGCACTCAATTAGTGCCAACAGTAGGGTTCAGGGTTAACAGCCTGGGCCAGTTAAGTCCAGCAGCTCCAGGTGGACATATCTCCCGCCCACAGGGAATGGAGGTTCAGGGCTTACCTCCCACCAGCTTCCTCCTGTACCTGCTACCTCTCAGATCCCAGCTGAGGAGCTCACTGCAGCACAGCACCCCCTAGTGGTGTGCAGAGATCAGCACTGCCTGCAAAGGGAGAGTGCCCCCTATTGAGCTCTCCCCCTGCAGCATAGTGGTCCCTAGTGCCAGGGTCAGCACAAATGAAGCAGATCAGACAACAGGCTGGATGTTTTTGTTGAAAAGTTTAATAGAAATATAGATCTCAAAAAAAACCCACACACATAAAACCAGCAAATATCCACTGACTGACCCAACGGGGCCCAGCCCAGGAGACACCGCCCGCCCAGGGCTCCTGCCAGTGCCCCCGAGGCTGCAGTCACACTTCAGAGGGGAAAATGCCCTCCTCCTGATGCACACAGGGAACTGATGCCCTGGTGCCTTTACCCACAAGCCCCCTCTCCTGCCCTATATCCCAGCCCGACTGGACAAAGGCCACTTGCCCCCCAGTGGGAGGTGATCCAAAATGGCTAATACTGCCCTCCCCCCCACTAAACAATCTGCCCCCTGGTATGTTCAGCCACGGGGGGGCGGTAGACAGAGGCACCGGGAGGATGGAAGCACCAGGAGGATTTGTGCGTAGGCAACTGAGTGCTGAGAACGGAAAGGTTCATCACACCTGCTGGACATTCATCCCCCCCACCCCGCTCCTGGACTGGACCTGGAGCCTGTGAGGGGAGCAGTGGCGGAGGCAGCTTGGCGACTGGCTGCAGGACGGCTGCCTCAGCTCAGGCAGATCTGGGAGCAGCCAAGAGCTGCCCCCAGGGAAGCAGCCAATTCTGGGTGGAACTAGGGCTCAAGGAGGAGATGACTCCTCCTGGGCAGCAAAGGATTCTGGGTAGAACTAGGACATCTCTCTCTGCTTGGACGTGGGTCCAGGAGCCCCAGGGGAGCAGAGGATTCTGGGAGTACCCCATAGGACACGATGGCTCTAGGAGGATCCAATAGCAGGACATTCTGGGTGTACCCCCAGGGGAGATGCTCCCTGGAAGAGCTGAGGCTTCTGGGAGTATCCTGTGAGGTAACTACTCTCCTAGGATCCCAGAGGATTCTGGGAGCTCCCCCAGGCCAGTGAGCAATACCAAGGACAGAGGGGGCCACTCAGTCTCTGGCTCAATGCCCAGCATGGATCTGGACAGTGCACAGCGCCCCCTAGTCCCCATCAGCTTCAAACAGGGCGTCCAGCTCGGCCAGGCGCTGGCGCAGCAGTTCCTCCAGGTCGGGGTGCTGGGGTGGGGCCCGGCGCCCACCTGGCGCTCGCCCCGCCAGCCTCCCCCGGGGCCGGGCACGGCGCTGCTTGCGGGGCAGGCTGCTGTCCTGGAATTCCATGGTGCGCTTCAGCTTGCGCTGGCTGGTAAGCACCAGTGCCCCGTTCCGCTCCCGAGGCTCCTCGAAGATCGTCTCGAAGGTCCTAGGGGGAAGGAGAAGGGGCTAGACGGGACCCAGTGCCCGAGTCCACCAACCCACCCTGTATCCCAGCTGGGACGCCGATAGCACAAATGGGGCCCAGACACCTCGGTCCTCACCTACTGTGTCCCCCAGCTGGGACACCCTCAGCACGAGGGGTGGGGAGAATGGGGATCAGACTCCTGGGTCCTCCACTCAGGACCAAACACCTCCTGCTGTTTAGGGGGGCAGCGAGTTTGTGAGCTGGACCCCTGGGTTCCCAGCAGCAAGAACCAACCACGGCTAGATTTAACCTCCTGCACCCCTCCCCAACTCTGAAGCCAGGCTCTCCCCTTCCTGTGAGTTGGAGGAGGGGGATGTCCCCCCCATCGTAGCCACCCCCAACCCCTCACCCCCTCCAGCAGCAGCACCCAGGGCCCTCTCACCGCTTCTCGGTGGGAGTGCGATAGTTCTTATTCGTGTAGATCTCCTCCAAACTGAACTCCTTCTTGTCCAACCTGTTACGGGGAGACCAGACTTAGCAACAGCGCACGGGAATCCCTTGTCCGTGTGGAGACTCAGCAGCCTCGGGGGTGGGACGTGGGGGGCTGGACGGCCGCCACACAACATGAATGGAAAAGAATCCTATGGCCAGCTGTAACCGCTGGGGAGATTCAGAGCTGGGGATAGAACCCAGGAGTCCTGACTCAACCACTCCCCTCCCCCCAGAGCTCCCAATACCTGACCGGCCTGGGCAGGCCCATTGGCGTGAGGTTGGCTTGCTGTTTGGCTGGGGTCTTGCGGATGCGGAAGCGGGACACTTTCCCTGTGGTCTCTTCCTGGGAGCACTGCAGGGAATGGGGAGAGAAGTAGGACAGGATCAGGAAAGATTCCCTGTTATGTACACACAGAGTGGAGAGTGCCCCCCGCAGCACGGCACCCCGCTGAGCCACCTCCCTGTTCCCGACAGCACGGCACCCCCCTCCGAGCCCCCCCGCTCCCCAAGCCTTCCCCTGCTCCCGACAGCACTGCGCCCCCGCTGAGCCTCCCCAACCCCCCGCCACTCTCGACAGCACTGCGCCCCCCCACCGAGCCTCCCCCTGCAGCATGATGCCCCCCCTTCCAGGATACTCCCAGAAGCCTCAGCTCTTCCAGGGAGCATCTCCCCTGGGGATACACCCAAAATGGTCTGCTATTGGATCCTTCTAGAGCCGTGTCCTCGGGGTACTCCCAGAATCCTCTGCTCTACCAGAATCCCCTGCTGAGCACCCCCCCCCCCCCCCCCCACCGTGCCCCCCCCCCCCCCCGCCACCACTGCGCCCCCCGCCAAGCCTCCCCCTGCAGAACGACACCACCCCTCCCAGTCCCACCAGCACGTCGCCCCCCCTCCCAGGATACTCCCAGAAGCCTCAGCTCTTCCAGGGAGCATCTCCCCTGGGGGTACACCCAGAATGTTCTGCTATTGGATCCTCCTAGAGCCATCGTGTCCTCAGGGGTACTCCCAAAATCCTCTGTTCTACCACCCTCCCCCGCCAAGCCTGCCCCCCGGCAGCACGGCGTCCCCTGCTGAGCCCCCCACTCCCCACAGCACAGCGCCCCCAGCACCGCACTGGGACCAACACTGCCTCCCACTGGTCCACCTCACCTTGGCATCTGTGTGTGACAGGAGAATCCCACCTGTGGTGACGCCATGGCCCCTGTCCCCCTGCTCCGGGCGCTGGGAGCCGTCCCTGTGAGGCAAGGAGACCATATGGACCAGGAACCTCTCAGGGCCGTTTCTGGAGGGCCAGGCGATGCCATGGCACCGGGAGCCCAGATGCTGGGGCAAGGCAGGATGGCAGTGGGACGACCTAGGCCACGGCAGGGCGGCAAGAGGGATGGGGCAGGGGTTACCTGGGGCAAGGTGGGGTGGCAAGGTAGCGTTAGGGGCAGCCAGGAGATAGCAGGCGGGGCAGGCACCAGCAGGGTTACCGGGGGCATGGCAGGGGGGCTCAGGGGGCAGAGTTCCCCAGGGCCAAGCAGGGGGGCTGGGGGCAGGGTTACCTGGGGCAAAGCAGGGCAGTGGCAGGCTCCTCGTGGTGGGGTGGCCCTGGGCAGGAGGAACGGGCCTCATTGCAGCGGGTCATGCACACCACTGGGCTGAGCAGGTGGCGGGAGGCCGGGGACGGGAAGGGGAAGACCTCCTTGCGCAGGCAGGGCAGGATGGGGGGCGAGGGGTGGCCCCGCAGCAACTCCCGCGACACCTCCAGGCTGCAGACTGTGTGACGGCGCCGGCGAGGTGGGCAGGGGGCGGACGCTGGCAATGGGGACGGCATGGCCCAGGGGAAGTCCGGGCAGGAGTAGCTGCGGCCCAGGCGGGGCTGGCTGGGGTCCTCAGGGCTCAGGCGCCACTGGCAGATGGGGGGTCGGCGGCTCACAATGCTGTCCCCATCCCCATCATCTTTGGCCTCGCCAGGGCCCCTCCTCTCCGCTGGCTGCAAGATGGCAATTTTCACCTCAATGTTCACCCCTTGGCGCGAGCTGTGCGCCCCCTGCTGGCTTGGCCCGCTCCGGCTCAGCGCTGGCTCCTCCTCGGGGCGGGGGGGCTCCGCCGGCTGCCCCCCACCCTCTCCCTCATCCGGATGAGGAGATGGCGGGGGGCGCAGGCGCGGCTTGACCGGGCTCAGGAAGATGTCGGCGAAGGTCTCCAGCTTGGATTTGACACTCTGGAAGAGCGGGGCGATGCCCCAGTGCCGCAAGGGGGGGACCGTGGCCCGGGGGCGCAGCAGCGAACAGATTGGGGGAGGCCAGGCGGAGGAAGAGGAAGGCAGGAGGCTGCCAGGTGGCTCGGCTTCTTCTGGGACAGGATCTGCTGGGAGAAGGGCACAGGGGTCAGGAGAAGTCAAGGGAGGACCACATCCTGCGACGCACAGACAGCCCCCAACGGTGCTGAACCCACTAAACCCTCAGCAAGCTCCCAGACCCTCCCCAAAAATGCACACTCTTGCCTCCCCAGCCCTATTTTCAGAACAAAGAAGAAATGTTGACTTCCCACAAAATGAGACTTGGGGAAAGTCATAGTTCGAGCAGAAAGGTTTCATTCCGATAAAGATCTAAACGTTTTTTGGACTGATTCAATCTCTTTAAAAGCTTCTCAGCGTGTCTTTTTCTATCAAACAAAAAAATGGTTGCTAAACAAGAAAATGACACTCTCAAAACATCCAAAATAGAATATTTTTTAACTGAAATTTCATTTAAATTAATGTTTCCTTCTCAACAACATTTTCGGTCAAAAAACGTTTTCAGGAAGAGTTCAACCCCTGCTCCCCATGGAGCCCCACCCCCGTGTCCAAGCTCCACCCCCAGCCCCGCCCCTGCATGAGTTGGAGCTCCACCTACCGGGCTGTGGGCAGCGCTCCCACTGGTCCGAGGAAGAGGAAGATGCTGTCAGCTGATCAACCCTGTCAGGAGAGAGAGGGGAAGTGAAGCTCTGGGCCAGCGCCCCCTAGAGGGCCCTGTGTCCCACCCCAGCTGGTTGGTAGGGACGTGCACTTACGTGCTAGGAGGCGACGGCATCAGCAGATCTTCCTGCTGAAGGCTGGCATCCTGCCAATGAGAGGTGGCATCTGAGCTGGGGCACGGGATGGGGTTCACCCCCCACACCCGAGGCTGACAGGACAGCGGCACCTGATCAGGGCAGCTTCCTCCTTGGTCGTAAGCCCAACCCCTCCCTCCATTGACCCATCTGAGATAGCACCCACTGCTGAGATCCCCACCCATCCCTCTCCCCTCTGGCCTGGGCTCTGGCAGCCCCCTCCCTGCCCCCACAGCTC